CTTAAGGATGTAAGTAATTAAAGAATTCTTAAAATGGATGAATTTCTTTGTTCATATGGTCTCCTTTAATGACTTCTTGAAAGTTTATATGTAGCATGGAGGATGATCAGAAGAGCCCCCAAGAAACATCTGATATTTTGCTCAACTGAGACTTTAAACAACTATGTTCTCTTAGCATCTCCAGAAGAACATCTTGCTCTCATAAGTAAATAGAAGTCTGAGGTTCTCAAGGCAAAGGTGTGTCTTCTGGGAAAAGCAAACACCTGCCAGCTGGATGTCATGTATTAAGATGCTCATAACTTTTGGGAGTGTGCTTTTTTAAGATGTAACAGAAATTCTGACTAGACTTATTTGGCTTATTATCTGATTTCTTATCACCTGCAGGCAGTTAGGTTGTCACTTGCATAATTGTGCCATTTGTCAAGTGGTATGTATTTTAAAGGTAGGTACTTTTCAAGACTGGAAGAATCTCAAATATGGAAGTATCTGGGTGAGTTACATAGAAATTTCATTGAAATGAAAAAAAAAAAGGAAAAAAATTTTCAGTGAAACCGTTAATCTAGGTTCAGGTGCAAATGTCAAAAGTAAGTGTGTCAGTAAATGGGGAAGACTGGTGTTGGCAGAATACACTGGTATCTTTTGATCTTGTCATTCCTGTACCATTCTTTGACATTGGGATCCCTTTATAACATCGACCAGTGCTCTTATTTTGGTAGCTCCCTCTACTGTTAAAGCTAATTTGCTGATTCTGCTGTAACTTATGAATTTCCTTAAGTCTTTGCTTACTTTCTTCAGCTGGACCACTCATCCCAGTTGAAGGGGAGGCAGTGGGGAGAAGGGAAATATATATCCATCATAGGCAAGAGTTTAACATGCACAAAGAGATTGTTGTGTGTATTGTTTCATATTTTGTATCTCTGGTGAATAATTGTTTATTGAGTAGTACCATTGTGAAAGATACATTCATTTTCTATTAATGTGTAATGAATTGCCCCAAATTTAGCAGTTTAAAACGACATGCATTTATTTTCTCTCAGTTTCTGTGGGTCGGGTGTATGCGTGTAGCTTGGTTGGATCTCACAGAGTTGCTGTCTAGATTGTGACTAGACTTTTGGATCTTGGGTTCTTTTCCAAGCTCATGTGATTGCTGATTAATACAGTCATATGTAGGGCTGAGGTCTTTAGTTTCTCGCTGGCTATCGGCATCTAGAGGCCCCTGACATAGGTCCTTTTATAACATGGCGGACCATGTCTTTCAGTGTTTGTTTATTTTATTGTATTTTTTGAGAGAGCGAGAGCATGAGCTGGGGAGAAGTAGAGAGAGAAAATTTCAAGCAGGCTCCATGCTGCCAGTGCAGAGCCCAGTGCAGAGCTCGAACTCATGAACCATGAAATCATGACCTGAGCCGAAATCAAGAGTTGGATGTTTCACCAACTGAGCCACCAAGGCACCCTGGCAGACCATGTCTTTCAAGCCAGCAGAATGGCTTTACTTCCTGAAATAAAAGAATTTTTTTAAGGGTTTCCACCTGACTAAGTCTGGCCCACCAAGGGCAGTCTTTTATTTTGATTTGGGACTTTAATCATATCTGCAAAATCTTTCTTACCCTTCACCTGATTGTGGAAGGAAAATCTCATCAAATTTCTTTAGTCTTTGCCATACTCAAGTGGAGAGCATTGTACTGTTATCTGTTTGACTAATTAAGAAAAATAAAAGTTTTTAATTTATATTCACTTATTCCTTCTTTGATACTTTTTATGTAGTTCTGAATTTTGACCTGTATTATTTTACTTACATCTAAAGAACTTTTTTAAAAATATGGGTGTTGTATGGAAGCCAATTTGACAATAAAATATATTAAATAAATAAATAATAAAATAAGAATGTCTTTCAAGACTGATCCACTGGCAACAAATCCCCTCCACCCCCTTTTTTGTCTGAGAAATAGTTTATTTCTCTTTTGAAAGGTAATTTTGCAGGATATAGAATTCTAGATTGGTGGGGTTTTCCCCCCAACAGTTTAAACATTTCACTCTACTTGTTTGCAGGTTTAAGTGGTCAGGTGTAATTCTTTTATTTCTTCTTCAGTGTTTTTTTCCTGTGACTTCTTTCAGGATTTTTCTTTTTAAAGAAAATTTTAAAGTTAACTTATTTATTTTGAGAGAGCAAGGTAGAGAGAGATGTGTGAGGGGCAGAGAGAGAGGGGGAGGGAAAGAGAGAATCCTAAGCAGGCCCCGCACCATCAGCGTGGAGCCTAGCATAGAGCTCAAACTCACAAACTGTGGCGTCATGACCCAAGCTGAAACCAACAGTCACATGCTCAACTGGCACCCTCAGGATTTTTAAATCTTTGATTTGTAGTTTTAAAATGATATGCTTAGGTATAGGCTGGTTTTTCTGGGGGGTTTTGTTTGTTTAGCATTTTTCCTTCTTGGTATTGTCAGGGCTTTTTGGATCTGTACTTTGATCTCTGACATTAATTTGGGGAAACTCTCAGTCATTGTTTCAAATATTTTTTCTTATTCTCCCTTTTTCTGGTATACGCACTATATGTTACACCTTTTTTTTCGGGTCCCACAATATTTGGGTGTTCTGTTTAGTTTTGTTTTGCTTTTTCACTCTTTGTTCTTTTTGCTTTTTGGTTTTTGAGGACTCTGTTGATATATCCTCTAGATTCTTTCCTCCCTTGTGCCCAATACGTATATCAATAGGCATTCTTCATATTTATGTGTTAATGGTTTTGGCCTGTAACATTTCTTTTTGGTTCTTTCCTAGGATTTCCATTTCTGTACTCACCTTACCCATCTGTTTCTGCATGTTGTCTACTATCCATTAGAGCGAGTTTTTGACATATTAATCACAGATAGTTCTTTTAAATTCTCTTCGTGATAATTCCAGCATCCCTTTCATCCCTTTCAGAGGCTTGCTCTGCCCTTTCAAATTGTGGTTTGCTTTTTAGCATGCCTTGTAAATTTCTCTTTTCTTTTTTAAGATTTTATTTTTAAGTAATCTCTACACCCAATAGGCTCCAGTTTACAACCCTGAGTTCAAGAGTCACATGCTGTACTGATAGCCAGCCAGCCAGGCATCCCTGTAAATTTTTCTTGATAGGCAGGCATGATTTAGTAGTAAGAGGAACTGCTATAAATAGGCCTTTAGTAGGTGGGGGGGTGGGGGGAAGGAGAGAAGCATTCAGAATCATCTGGTTCAGTCTCAGTATTTTAGTGAGCCTGTGTCTCTGGAGAGGGTTTCTAAGTTTTTTCCTCCCCTTTTAGATTGGACAGGATAGGTAAAGTGGACTGGAGTTGGGAATTTCCCTTCTCCCATTGGATGGCTAGAGTTAGTTGGAGTTGAGAAGTTTCCTTGCCTTTGTGAGGCTCTTATTAACTAGTTTCTCCTAAGGGCAGGTGGTGTTAAGAAGAACAGAGTGCTTCGGTGTATTTAATACTAGTTTTAGTGTATGTGTACATGTATGTATGTTTACTCCTGGCAGAAAGCTGAAGTCTACTGTTCTCAGTACTTACTGTGGGAATCTAGTTGGATTCTTGGAAATAAATCTCACAATATTGTGGGAGTCCCCTGGAGTTTTTAACTCAGATTTGTCCACACTGTGCCCCCAGCAGTTTGCCAGTTACATTCAGGTTATCCTACTACTGGCTCCCCAGGTGGTCTTCTTGTGACTCTTTACGTGGGACCTATTTGCCTGTCTCTTCAATCTTGGGGACAGTAGTTTGCCCTGATCTCTCTTTCATGAATCTAAGCAGCATTGGTGATTTTCCATTCTGTTCTACTTTTTACTTGTTAAAGTGGAGTGGGGACTCCCAGGCTCTTTACATGTGGAACCAGAAACCACACACTGCTGTCTTGTAATTGGTGAGCCTTACTTGGCCAGCACCTCTTTGTCAACTCCTAAAGCTATTTTCCTCATACAGTTCTCATACCTGTGTAACGCCGACTTTTACTTTCAGCTTTAATCCTAACTTTTGACATGAACAGTCTGCGATGTTAACTGCAGTTATTGAATACCACTGATTTGAATTGGTGTTTCTTTTTATTTTGCCTACTCATTATTCAGATTTCTTACTACTTATTGCTTACTCATATTTAAAAATTCTGTACACTTATGTTTCTAATATATTTTATTTCTTTTCTTGAATTGTGTTTAAGAGGAAAGTTTTATCGATTTTAAACTTTGAATCCTTGACTGTCAGAAATGTGTTTAGCTTTCTTCTCCCACCTTAACGCTATTTTTTTTTTTTTGGTATGTAATTCTGTGTTTCATATAATTTTTAGAACTTCAGAGCTACATCTTCCGTTGCCTTTTAACATCAAGTATTGCTAACAGCAGTGTGATATCTGTTCTTTTATAGGAAATGCTATTTTTTCCTCTTAGGTTAAAAATTGAGAAGCAAAGATATGTGTAGTCTTAGGTTTTCTGTTTTGTTTTTGTTTCTTTGAGAATAGTAATAATCCTATTAAAATTAGTTTGAATTTGAGGATAGTTAAAATGAAGGGTATTGTTGTATTTTAAAAAATAGAACAAACTCCCATGTTTTCCCCAAATCTGAAGTTTAATAAAGGGCCCTTCAAAGTTAAATAGTCTTCCTTCTGGTTGCTATTTATTCTACAGTGTCTTTTAATAGTTGCCATCAGTGAGTAATGTCCAGCTTCCTAAGTTGGCATATTCTCCTACCCCTTCTTTTGGCTACTCCCAAATTTATTTTGAGTTGGATTATGATGTCCTGAACAGTTTGTATATGGTCTTCCCAATGGGACAGTTCAAAGTAAAGCTTTTCTTCGGGCAGTTGGAATTTTAGTTTAGATGATGAACCATATATGATTCCTTTATTCATACGTGCAATTCTTATCCAGATGTTTCAAAAGTTGTAACTGCTTTTTACTTAAGTGTTAACTGAACAATATATAGCAACCTTGCTGTTTTAAACTACTTTGTATCTTAAACTATTCTTTTATTTAGTGAATTTGTTTTTCAACTTAGACCGTGTGTGGACAGTAATGACCTCACGTTTCCGATTGCCTGCTGGCAGAACCTACAATGTCCGAGCATCAGAGTTGGCCCGAGACAGACAGCATACGGAGGTGGTTTGCAACATCCTTCTTTTGGATAACACTGTACAAGCTTTCAAAGTTAATGTAAGTATTTTATATATTTTTCTTTTCATAATCTGAATTTAGATTATATTTTAAGACTGAAATTGTTTAATTGTATTATACTTTGAAAAGCCTTATTCTTTATCCAGTGAAGAAAGTCTTTTTAGTATATGTTTGTAAGTTTCTAGCTTAAGTTTTGATTTAAACTGGATCTTTCAAAAAGTTGACAAACCAACAGTGCATTATAAGTGGAGCAAATTAGTATGTGGCTGGTTTTTATAAATGTGCTTGAGGTGCTTGAAAGGAATTTGTTCCTGTGAGTGATTTATACATTCTCTTTGTAATCTTTCTTGTACTGTGTGAATAAAACTTGTAAACAAAGATAAAAGACAGCCTTGATCTTATCTGAGTCTTGTCTGAAATGTTTATTCATCGAATATTTGTTCATCCTATTTCTATCTTTATTTGCTCAACATGATTTGTGAGTCTCACCCATGCAGTATGTTACCCATTGTGGGCTCATTTTCAGTGCTGTAGAGTACTCTCCTGAATGAATACACCACAGTTTGCTTTTTCATTGATTTGTCACCATTTACTCATCCAGTTTACTGTTGATGTACTTGGATTTTTTCCACTTTGGATGCTTGTCAGTAACATTGCAGTGAACATTCTTGTACATCTGTTGATATATACAAGGGTGTATTCCTCTTTCTTATTTAAAAAATTTCAAACCTGCAGAAGAGGAGGAAGAATACTAAATGAATAGCTACATAGTCTTTAGCTAGACTGATCCGTTGTTAACATTTTTCACATTTGCTTTATCTTTTTCTGTGTGTTTTTTTCTGAACCGTCTGCAAGTAAGTGGTACACTTCACATGTAAGTACTTCAGCAGCCTAGGAGTCTTATAAGTTACCACAGAACCATTGTCATATTCAAAAATCAAGTATTATGAAATAATAGTAACTGGTATATAGTCCATGTTTGGACTGGATCCCTCATTCCTCATTCCTACGTCTCCAAGACAGCACCTTCCATCTCTTTTTTGCTGTGTCACCTAGGTTTTCTATACTTAGAAATCTTTCAGTGATGTAAAATACTAACCTTCTGAAATCTTGCCATTTGATTGCTTGGATGGACGTGGGCTCATGCTAAGTGAAGTACGTCAGAGAAAAAGAAATACTGTATGATTTTACTTATCTATGAGAGCTAGAAAAGCTGAACTCTGAAAGAGTAAAATAATGGTTTCCAGGGCTTGGGATGTGGGGGAAATGAGATGTTTGTCAAATGGTACAAACTTCCAGTTATGAGTAAGTTCTGGGGATCTGATATGCTTCATGGTGACTGTAGTCAACAGTACTGTACTATATACTTGGAAGTTGGTAAGGGAATAAATCTTAAATCTTTGCATCATACACAAAAAAGGTAATATGTGAAGTGATGAATGTACTAACTTTATCATGGTAATTGTTTCACAGTGTATATGGGTATCAGATCGGCTTGTCGTACACTTTAAACTTACACAATGTCATATCAGTTCTATCTCAATAAAGTTGGAAAAAATAAATAAAATATTAATCTTTTTTCCTTACCAGTTTCTTAAGGTTAAAATTTTCTGTATTACAACACGATCACGAATTTATTATTTTACCCTAACTCCAAGCCGTTTCACATTTGGAAAAGGGGTTGCAGAGTAGTACCTTTAAAGGTATTTTCTAACATACCGAACTAATGTGCTTTTCCAAAATGTTAAGCTTTAATTGTTTTTGGATTCTGTCATCTATTTGTAAATAGTATGGGTTGCCAACAAGGGATACTAATATTCAGTGAAGGGAATTCTACTTCATAAAAATTTTTAGTAAATGGAAATTCATGTGTTGGGAATTGGTACAAGAAAATAAGTCCCTTTTCTGCTTTTGACTCATCAGAATTCTTTTTGGGGGTTTAAATAGTAATTCTTAATTTAATATTCATTATGCTTCATTAATATTTACTTTTAATGTTAACTTGTAATTCTGTATTTGTTTTAGAATATTGCAAAAGGATTTGCTGTTTCTTGTTTCGCAAATTTTTTTTCTGTTGGGCACTTTAGTTAATACTAGAATGTTGTATATATTTTTTTAATGTTTGTTTTATTTACTTTTTTTTTTAAATGTTTTATTTATTTCTAGGAGAGAGAGAGAGAGAGACAGCGTGAGCAAGGGAGGGTCAGAGTGAGAGGGAGTCACAGACTGAAACAGGCTCCAGGCTCTGAGCTGGCAGTCAGCACAGAGCCCAACGCGGGGCTCGAACCCACGAACCGCAAGATCATGACCTAAGCGAAAGTCGGACACTTAACCGACTAAGCCACCCAGGCGCCCCTGTTTTATTTACTTTGAGAGAGAGAGAGCATGCACACAAGCCAGGTAGGGTCAGAGAGAGAGGGAGAGAGAATCCCCAGCGGGCTTTGTGCTGTCAGTGCAAACCCCGTCATGGAGCTTGGTCTCCGTGAGCTGAAATCGAGAATTGGATGCTTAACCAACTGAGCCACTCAGATGCCCCTGGAATCTGAGTTTATTTTTATTTTTATTTTTCAATATAGTAATCAGTGTGCTAATTACTCTTTTCGAAAGATATACATTACTATTCTTATGTTTTTAATATATGTATATATATTTAAATATCCATTCTAACACACTTGAATATATCACCAGAATGATAGTATTATGGTACTAAAAACTTTAGCATTACTTCAAGTCATCAACGAATTTAATTTAAGAGGGACAGTATGAGAGATTGACTGTTAGGTATGTAGTGTATTTATTCCTCACAGTATTTGGACCCAAGTCTTTCAAAGTGTTCATGTTGTTAGTACTTTTGTGTAGAATCTTGCATATTTTAATCTGTGTGAATGGCTCTCTAGTTATGCAGTTTATAATGTGTACAGCATCATGTGATCTAGCCTGCAAATTAAGAGGGGAGTTCGAACTTCTGCTGATTGGTCTCTATGTCCATTAAGTACCGTTAGGTCTTAGAAATGCCCACTACAGGCAGGTGTGTTTCACCAGCCTCTCTATTCACTGGGAAGGAAAACTGTTCAGTTTTCTTTGGAGGGTACCAAGCAGTGATTTGTAGCATTTTAGCTGTTGGAATCATTCCTTTCCCTGAAAGCTGTCTGTACCACAGATTAAATGTTCATGGTTGCCAAAGTCTGCTTTTTTTCCATCTGGTATTCATCTCATCAAAACCTTTTCTTTATAGGGCTTTCTAGGTGCTTCAGTCAGTTAAGCGTCTGACTCTTGGTTTCGGCTCAGGTCATGAGCTCACAGTTTGCAAGTTCTAGCTCCGTATCCATCTCTGCGCCAACAGTGTGGAGCTTGCTTGGGATTCTCTCTCTTTCCCTTGCTCTCTGTCCCTCCCCTACATGTGCACACACTGCCTCTCTCTTCCCAAAATTATGTAAACTTAAAAAAAAAATCATCTGGGGAGCTTTTTTAAAACATAAAACCGTTTTCTATATATATCCTGGGAGGAAATGATGTAATGAAGGAGCTGTATAACTTCATTAGTTCCTTTTTTTCTTTTTCTTTGTAGACATAGGATTGAGATAAGCCTGGTAGTGTTGTTTCAGTTTGAAGTTACATTTTCACTATGGTTTTGGCAGAACTACTTTACTGGAGCCAGCCTATGGAGTGTGTTTTCTCTCTCATGTCCCTGAATTCATTGTCAATCACTCAAAACATGTTTCCATTAAATACATAGTATCCATACTACATGGATTGATTTCATCTACCTATGAGGAGTTTTTCCTAATTTTTGACTTTTATTTGTATTTTATGTTAGTGATTTATTTAGTAGTAGCCTGTGTGACAAGGAAGGGATGGGGAGAGAAGCACCCTATTCCAATTATTAGGCTCAGTAAGAAATTACCCCAAAAGGTAGTGGCATATTTATTATCCTCAGAGATTCTGTGAGTCAAGGATTCCTATAGGTAGGGATGGCTTATATCTTGTCTATGTGCTGGACCTCAGCTGGAAGACTCCAGGCTGGAGGCTAGACTCATTTGAAGGCTTATTCACTCATATGACTATTACCTAAGACCTTCGCTGAGGTTTAGACACCTGTATATGCTCTCTTTCTATGTGCCCTGGGCTTATTCACAGCACAGGGGCTGCATTCCAAAGGTGAGCCTTCTCAGAGAGAGTGGGAGCCAGGCTGTAGCCATATTGCCTTTTCTGATCTGGCTTTGGAAGTCACATAATGTCACTTCCACCATGTTCTGTTTGTTAGTGCCATGACAAAGTCATATTCAGGATCAATGGAAGAGAAATTTATTCACACATTCAGTGTGTAGTTCTAAGGTGCTTCATATATAGTAGTGTTCAAAGACAGGGAACAAAGCTTATGCATTAAGGAATTTCTTTTCTTTTTTTTGGGGGGGGGGCTTTTATTTTGTCCACATTGAATTTTCCCCCAGTTTAGGTTTTTTTTTAAAATTTTTTATTTATATCTGAGAGAGAGAGAGAGAGAGAGACAGCGTGAGCAGGGGAGGGGCAGAAAGAGAGGGAGACACAGAATCTGAAGCAGGCTCTAGGCTCTGAGCTGTCTGAGCTGCACAGAACCCGACGCGGGGCTCAAACCCACGAACCGTGAGATCATGACCTGAGCTGAAGTCAGACGCTTAATCGACTGAGCCACCCAGGCGCCCCTAGTTTTTTTTTTTTTTAAATTAAAGTTTTATGTTAAGTAGGCTTAACTCTGCAAGTGCAGAGTGTGACGCGGGGCTCAAACTCACAAAACCGTGAGATCATCACCTGAGCCAAAACCAAGAGTTGGACACTCAACTGACTGAGTGACTCAGGCACCCTGGTAATTTTTTAAATGATATTAGTACCTTAATTGTTAGCAAAAGATGCCATAAATCATTGATTTTTTTCCTTGAAGTAAGGTGAAATTCATTTAATACATATTTTAGTTATGTGATAATTTGGGTTGATGAATATTTAGTTGGCTGAAACTTACATATCCTTTTTTTGTCTATTAAATACTTTGTTAACCAAATCAG